GAGCCCAATGCGGGGCTTGATCCCAGGACCCTGAGATCATGACCTGAGCCGAAGGCAGAGGCTTAACCCACTGAGCCACCCAGGTGCCCCGAAGTGGTCCTTTTTATCCCGCATTATATTCTTTGCTTTGAAATCTACTGTCTGTTATTAATATAGTTACCTAATTTTCTTTTGATAATATTAGCATGGTGTGTATTTTTCCATTCTTTTACTGTTACCCTATTTGTTTCTTTATGTTTATTTTTTATTTATTTATTTTTTTTTTATTTGAGAGAGCGTGAAAGTGAGAGATCACAGAAGGAGAAGCAGACTCGCTGCTGAGTGGAGAGCCATGACCTGAGCCAAAGGCAGATGCTTAACCTACTGAGCCACCCAGGTGCCCCAGTTTCTTTGTGTTTAAAGTAGGCCTCTTGTAGGCAATTTGAGCCCTACTTTTCGTCCAAACTGACAATCTCTGCCCTTTGCATTTGAATATTTAGATCTTCACATTTAATGTGTTGGTTGATGTGACTGGATTTAAATCTACCATATTGCTATTTATTTTCTAGCTATTTATCTCATCTATTCTTTTTCCTCTTTTGTGGGAAGAACACTTATTTTGGATTAATTGAATATAGTTTTATAATTCCACATTAAGGCATTTCTTTAGGGTTTAGAGTATGGATCCCTAACTTAGGTCAGTCTGCTGACACATGGCAGTCTAACAGTGTATGTCTTTTTGTCTTCCCTCAGCCTTTGTGCTGTTGTTACACATTTTATTTTTACATGTTCTTAACTCCCTGTATTAGTTTGGTACAACTGGCACAACAAATTACTTCAAACTGAGTGGCTTAAACCACAGAAATTTATCATCTCACAGTTCTGAAAGCTGGAAGTCCAAGATCAAAGTGTGGACAGCACCATATACCTTCTGAATGTGCTGGGGAAGGATCTGGTGCACGACTCTTTCCTGGTCTTGGACTCTTTTATGGTAGTTCCTTTGCTGTGGCAGCATAACTCAGTCTTCACATGTCATTTTCCCTGTGTGCATGTCTGGGTCTAAATTTCCCCTTTTTATGGGGATGCCAGTTAGATTAGATTAGAGACCAACCCTACTCCATCCAGGTAAGACCTCATCCTAACTTAACTAATTTCATCAGCAATGATCCTGTTTCCAGCTAAGATTACATTTGGAGGTACTGGGGGTTAGTACTTCAACATATGAATTTTAAGGAACATAATTCTAAACCCATAACAGCACACAACATATTATTATTATTATTATACTGCTTTAAACAATTATTTTTTAAAGAAACTTAAAAATAAGAAATAAAATCTTTTATACTTGCAAGTACCGGCACTTCACTTTTTTAATTGCCAAATAAATATTAAATGGCTATATTACATTTTATTTATTCAAGAGTATATGGATATTTAGGTTGTTTCTACTTTTGAGCTATTATGAATAATGTTATTATGAACATTTGTGTGCAAGTTCTTATGTAGACATGTATTTTTCTGTCTCTTGGATAGATACATAGGAGTAGAATTGTTGGCTCATGTAACTTAACTATTGAGGAACTGCTAAAATTTTTTCTACAGTAGCTGTATAATTTCACATTCCCACCAACAATGTATGAGGGCTTCAATTTTACCATATACTTGCCAACAGTTATTATCTTTTTAATGCTCTTGATTTGCATTTTCCTGATAGCTAACAATATTTGAGACTCATTGACCATTTGTATATCTTCTTCAGAGAAATGTCTATTCAGATAATTTGCACATTTTTAATCGGGTTATTTGTCTTTCTATGAAACTATAATTGTTCTTTATATACTCTAGATATCAGTCACTTATCAGATATA